ATTGCTATAAACTGTCCTCTGAGTACTGCTTTTGCTGTGTCCCATAGGTTTTGGTAGGATGTATCTTCATTCTCATTAGTTTGTAGGAATTTTTTTATTTCAGTTTCTATCTGTTCGTAACCCAATAGTTTTTAAGCAGAGAGTTGTTCAGCTTCCATATGTTTGATGCTTTTTCCTTGCTCTTCCTATTATTAATTTCAAGTTTTATAGCATTGTGGTCAGAGAAGATGCTTTACCGTATTTCAATGCTTTTGAATTTATTGAGGCTTGTTTTATGTCCTAGTATATGGTCTATTATGGAGAAGGATCCATGTGCACTGGAAAAGAATGTGAATTGTATTTTTGCTGGGTGAAGTGCTCTATATATGTCTATGAGTTCCAGTTGGTTGATTGTACTGATGAGTTCTTCAGTATCTTTTTTGAGTTTTTTTCCCATTGACCTGTCTCCTTGAAAGTGGTGTGTTAAAGTCACCTACTACTAATGCAGAGTTGTCTGTCATTCGTTTTAATTCAGTTAATATTTGCTTCACATATTTTGGAGCACTTTCATTGGGTGCATAAATATTTATTATTGTAACATCTTTTTTGTTGATTGACCCTTACAGCATAATATAATGCCCATCCTTGTCTCTTAAGATGTTTTTCACCTTAATGTCTGTTTTATCAGAAATCATAATCACTACCCCTGCCCTTTTTTGGTTTCCATTGGCTTATTATATTCTTCTCCATCCTTTAACTCTTAATTTGTTTTTGTCTTTGTGTCTAAGGTGTGTCTTTTGTAGGCAGCATATCGATGGGTCTTCTTTTCTTATCCAGTCTGCTACTCTCCTTCTCTTGATAGGTGCATTTAGTCCATTTATATTGAGTGTAATTAGTGTTAAGTATGAGTTGATTGGTGTCATTAGTAATGGTGGTCTCTTAAAATGAGTTTGAAAATGTGTGCACCTCTTGTATTTTCTTAATGAGCTTCTGAAAACTGGTCTTTTGTCTTTTATGAATGTTTGGTAAAATTTAGCAGACAAGCAATCTGGAACTGGAATTTTCTTAGAAGGGTTTTTTTTTAATTACAAATTCTATTTCTTGTTTTTCTTTAATCCAATTCTGTTTCTTTAAGAGGTAATGATAATTAAGGTTATCCAGTTTTTCTTGAAGGAGTTCTTGTGGTTTAGAGCGTGTAAGGCATTTGTCTGCTAGTCAGAAGGTCGGTAGTTCAAACTGACTCGCTATTCCATGGAAGAAAGATGAGGCCATCTGCTTTCATAAATATTTACAGCCTTGTAAACCTAATGAGGCTTGCTATGAGTCAGAATTGACTCAATGGCAGTGAGTTTTATTATTATTATTATTTATTTAGGAGCTCTGGTAGCATAGTGCCTAAGGCACTTGACTCCTAACCAGAAGGCTGGCGGTTCAAACCCATCAGCCACTCCTCGGAAGGAAGGTTGGGCAATCTACTTCCGTAGTGATACTGCCTTGGCAACTCAAGGAGGGGTCGCTATGAGTCGGGTCCAACTCAACAGCACATAACAACAAAAATTATTTATTTATTCATTTTTTGTTTTTGGAATAGTTACTGTCAAGAAAAGTCTGTGGTGAGGAGGGGAAATGAGGAGTTTCAGGTTTGCTGATTTTTATGATGTAAAGGTTTCTTTTTTTTTTTTTTCCTGCTGCCATGTGGCCTTGTTACAAAAGAGCTTTTTGTGTGATTCTTTTCATAAATTTGCCGTCTTTGCTGCTGTGGGTGCTTGTGCTGCCAGCCCAGTTCATCTGTATTCCTACACCTCTCACCTTCACCTTCTAAGATCTGATGGTTCCAGACCCTTCTGCTACGAGACGTCTTTCCAAGGTTTCTTGTGTCTGTTTCCTTCCAGGAAGCTCCGGCTCCATCTTACTTGCTTCTGTAGCCCTTACAGTTTGTATGATACCTAGCAACTATGAAACCAGTTGCTATCAACTTGATTCTGATTCATGGTGACCCCAAGTGTTGCAGAGTAGAACTGCTCCATAAGGTTTTCAAGGTTGTGACCTTTCAGCGCAGATCACTAGGCCTTTCTTCTGAGTGCCTCTGGTTGGGTCCAAACTGCCAGCCTTTTGGCTGTTAGTCTAGTGGTTAACCATTTGTAGTTAAGCGCTTAACCATTTGTGCCACCCAGGGACTCCCCTTACAATTATACCTGCTTCTTAATTCCAATGAAAACAGCATGAGGTTTCATTGTTAGTAGTTTTTGTTTGTTTTTTCTTCTTTTCCTTTTGAATTATTTCAAATAACTTAGACATATAATAGAAAATGCTGTTTTAGTTAGTTAGCTGTGCTGATGCCAAAAATCTTGACTTACCTTGGTTATTTTGACTGTAACTTAATTTTTTTTCTGCTTGCAGTTATAAAAATTTTATGTCTCTGAAAAGAATTGATACTGATATGAGACCGAAGATCAGTTTGAATTTTACTACAAAAGGTATTACCTTATTTTTATATGTTCTTCTGTTAAAAACTATGTTAACATTTGTGGCTTGCTCTGTAAAGTATCATACCATTAACAACCATGCCTTTATTTTTATTTGCCATGCACTGAGCTTTGCTTAACATGACCAAGCAGCACTTGGTGCAGGCTGGCACTCATGAACAGAAAGGTCAGCAGGTGTTTCCATCTCACATTAAGTCAGCATCATGTAGAGAGGGATGCTATATCTGGGGCATATTGTTATTAAGTGTCATCAAGTAATTTTCGACTCATGGCACCCTTTATACAACAGAACAAAACACTGCCTGGTCCTGCAACATCCTCACAATTGTTGCTATGCTTGAGCCCTCTGCTACAGCCACTGTATCAATGTATCTCATTGAGAGTCTTCCTCATTTTGGCTGACCCTCTTATTTTACCTAGCATGATATCCTTCTCCACAAACTGGTCTTTCCTGATAATGTGACCGAAGTAGAGAGATAAAGGCTCGCCATTCTCACTTTTAAGGAGCATTCTGGCTGTACATCATCCAAGACAGATTTGTTCATTCTTCTGGCAGTCTGTGGTATATTCCATATGGTGCATAGGTGTGACCAACAGTGAAAATGGGCTTCAGCAGAGGTTCCCTATCATCCTCTCCTTTCTTGTGTTCTTTTTAATACGGCAGGCATGAGAGAAGGCTTACATGGAAGGAATGAACATTTTTGTCTCAGAGACAACTAGTCTAATCTTAAGTGCTGCTGAAAGGGCAGGGAGGCCATATGTTCTGACCTCCTCTAACTCTGTTTCTTTAAGAGGTAATGATAATTAAGGTTATCTAGTTTTTCTTGAAGGAGTTATTGTGGTGTAGAGTGTGTAAGGCATTTGTCTGCTAGTCAGAAGGTTGGTAGTTCAAACTGACTCGCTATTCCATGGAAGAAATGATGATGAGGCCATCTTTCATAAACATTTATAAACAATGTTTATAAACATTTATAAACAATGTTCTTTCATAAACAAGAGGAAGACAGAATCACCATCAATAATAGCCCAAGGCCTATTACTGCAAGCCCAGACATGCTGCCTTCCTCTAGCCTTCCTCCCAAAGTACCCACCACCTCTCTCCTGGGTTCGATAATCCAGTGCAATGGCCACACAGAACTCACAGATTACGGGGTTTACTAGGGAAGCACCAGGCTACAATTCAAGTTCAGGAAAAACGCTCTGTCTCTCTCCCAGCCCATAGTCAGTGAATGTCCCTCGGTGTCTCACTCAGCAATGCATGTCTCTTGCGTCTCTTTCCCAGCATCGTATGTCTCTTTCAGCAGCACATCTTCCTCAGCCAGCAGTCAGAGAGAGAGACCTCTTCTGCCTCTAGGAGGCCTCCTTTTGAGCCGGGCAGAGTGGCCAAACTAGCCAATCATAACATCAGAATTTTAAGCACCTGAGAGCAGGAACCTCCCAGAACATTGCTTTGTGTAGCACCCAACAGAAATACCCCAGGTGGATAACTTTTAAAATCAGGAACTCCTCAGTTGCTTACAGCAAATTCCACCACAGAGTTTACAAAGACTTATGGGTAGAAAAGCCATATGAGGTAATTTACTACACCGCAAGTGCTATCTCTTTCGGGGTATGTTAGGAAATGCCAGCTACCCAGCACTTGGAGACTTTAGGGCTGGCTGCCCACATGGAAGGATAGTTTGGGGCAGTACATTTTGTTAGGGGCAATGGATGTCCCTGATCCCAGAAAGCTCCTTCCCTGCCAATCCAGAGAAGGCTTCTTGAGTCATTTGCCTTTTTTTTGATGAACACATAATTTGATTTTTTTTCCTCATAAAAAGTACCATCAAAATACCAAATTCTAGCTACTTTATAATTTACCTCAGTCTACTCTCTTTTGGAAGTACTATTAAATCAGCAAAATACAAAATAGTCCAGTCTTACGCTTTACTACATTTCTTGATGAAATAGCTATTTTATGTTTTGAGGGAATAAGATTATGAAGTTTATTAGATCAGTACTTCTGAAACTTTAATATGCATTTGAACCATCTGATGATTTCATTATAATTCAGGTGCCAGTTCAGTAAATCTGGGGTGAGCCCTGAGGTTTTACATTTCTAGCAGGCTGCTAGGTGGTCCATGAACTATACTTTGAGTAACAAGGCATTGTATCACTTTATGATTATGATACAGATCCACACTGTCTAGTAATACAGTCACTACCCATATGTGAAGGAATTCTGGTGGTGCAGTGTTAAAACATTTGGCTGCTAACCAAAAGATCAGTGGTTCGAACCCACCAGCTGCTCCATGGAAGAAAAATGAAGCAGTCTGCTTCTCTAAATATTAACAGCCTTGGAAACCCTATGGGGGAGTTCTACTCTGTCCTGGTAGGGTCACTGTGAATTGGAATTTACTCGACCACAATGGGTTTTGAGTTTAGCCATAAGTAGCTTTTTAAATTTAAATTAATTGAAAATTCATTTCCTTAGGCACTAGCATCATTTCTTATGCTAAATGGCTAGTACACAGTGCCAACATGAAACATATTCACTATCAAAGAAAGTTCCATTGGATGGTGCTCATCAGAATAAAGTATAATTATCATTAAAAACCAGTGGCTGCCATTCTTGGCAAACTTCAGAATTTTCTAAGGCCTACTGCTTTGATGTTATTTGATTGCCAAAGCTCACTGACTTGAACAAACCTTGGATGATTGAAATGCTCTCGTGGTGATTAGTCATTGTGATTAGTTTTACTGAGGAACATACTATCTTTGTTTGGATTTTTGACAATTAGCTAGATAGCAGTGTGCTTTATTGTGCACTGGCTGTAGCAAAGCACACATTCTTGAATGTACTTCATTCTTTCAAAATAGTCCCTGTCCTACAGGAACTTAGGATGTAATGAGAGAAACCACATAAAAAAAGAGAATGAATTCATAGTGTCTGACTTCTCAAAATTCATTTTCAGATGAAATGCCTATCTTCAAACTTGATTATAATTATTTCTATCATCTGCTTCACATAATTATCATTTCTGGTACTGATATTGTCCGGCAAATATTTGATGAGGCTATGCCACCATCTATTTTGAAAAAAGAGCTTCTTATACGCAAGAATGTTCTGGAACCCTACTACAACCACCTTTGGACCAATCACCCTTTGGGTGGAGCATGGCATCTTCTTTATCCTCCAAACAAGGAGCTACCACAGTCCAAACAGTTTGACTTATACCTCCTGTTAGCTCTCATAAAACATTTGAATATATTCCCTGCACCCCAAAAAGGTTGGAATGTGGAACCACCATCTTCTGATCTCTCTAAGTCAGCAGACATCCTGAGGCTGTGCAAATACAGGGATATCCTCCTTAGTGAGATTTTGATGAATGGCCTCACTGAATCACAATTCAATTCAATTTGGAAAAAAGTTTCAGATATTCTTCTGCGTCTTGGGATGAAGCAAGAAGATATTGACAAAGTGAAAGAGAATCCCATTGAGAACATTTCCCTTGATTACCATCAGCTGTCCATCTACCTAGGCATACCTGTACCAGAAATCATCCAGAGGATGTTATCCTGCTATCAACAAGGTACAAAATAAGTCTTTATTTCAGCCAATAAACCTTTAGCAAGTGTCTACAAGGTGCCAAGCACAGTCTTAAGAGCCAGGAATTCAGTGAGCTCACATTCTTGGGAAAATGGGCTCACTGAGAAACTAATAGAAAGTATAATATTAGAAATGTTTCCAGAATGTCCTGGGAAATCCTACCATAAGGGATTCTGAAAAAGCTTTCTGGAGAATATAATACTTAAGGATTTTTAAAATGATGTTTAGAAACTGAGGAAGATGAAGAAGATGGGGAAGATGTTTCAGATAGAAACAAAAACAAAGGGGTAGAAACATAAACATATACTATAATGCAGGGTACTTAAATGTTTGGCATTACTGAGGTTAGAGCAGGAAAGAGTTCCTAGGTAAAATGCATTGAAGAGGATGTCTCTTGCCATGCTGAAGTGTTTATGTTTTCAGAAGAAAAGTTGGTGACTTTTAGGTAGAGGAATTTTATTATTTCTCCAAAATTGAGGATCCCTCTAGTGGCATATTGCCTAAGGCATTTGACTGCTAGACAGAAGGCTGGCGGTTCAAATCCACCAGCCACTCCTCGGAAGGAAGATTGGGCAATCTACTTCCATAGTGATACCGCCTTGGAAACCCAAGGAGCAGTTGCTATGAGTCAGATCTGACTCTATGGCAGTGGGTTTGGTTTGGTTTTGGAAATACAAGTACCATGTGGTTTCAAGGATGTCCTTTTAGATATAGTGGGTATGTGTTTCTCCTCCCTTTTATCAAAAGCTTGAGGTTTATTTTAGAATTTTGTCAGCTATCCATTGATTGTGAGTAATTAAAAAGTTAACATTAATGAAGTATCTAAATGCAGTAGTAGCTATTCTTAGACATTATCTACTGATAACAGGGACAGTGCTAGACTTTGTCTGTCAAATCTGGCATGAGCTTCTCATCTCATAGAGAAAAGCAGAATTAGGGCATGCTAATGGCACACAACAACAACAACAAAAATCACTGAAACTTTTGTTGTGCTATTCTAGGTGACTTTTTGTGGCCCTAAGTTTTTGTTATTCAAACTACCAAGTGAGCAACTGATGGCTAGCTACCCTGATGCTATTTTACCATAAAACCTTCCAAGATTCTAGTCATTGTGGAACTTGGCAACATTTCAACATTTTCTTCAAAGACAATTACTAGACCCCAGTCGCAGTCCTGTTACTAAAACTCTGGGATACCTTTGTGGTATCCTGCTTCACCTTTAAGAACTTTCTTTGTTCATTAAAGGAAAGATTCTGAGTTTGATGATATAAGAAAATGAAGCAAGAATTCTTGACTTATAAATTGTATGAGTTTATAAGAGGTTTTGTGGTTTTATTATTTGTTTGCTTGTTTTCATTACTCTATTAAGATTTTAAATTAAACAACAACTTACGAGAATAAAGGTATAATTTGGGAAAGGGCATTGGACCCTACCTAATACAATTCATGGCATTCCCATTATCCTATTCAAGCCTTCACTCTTGAGTATTAACCCATAAAGGTAGTTTGAAGAGCTTACTAGTCAAGCCCCTTTAATTGAGGCTTTCTTAACACCTTTACATCTCCTAAATAAGTTGGAATCAACTCGATGGCAGTGAGTTCCATTTTTTTTTCTCTTGGAGTAGTTACTACCATTGTAGTTTTCACTTGTGTGTCTGATATTTGCTTAATATTCATTGTTTCCACTAAATCTTTCCTCACCATTTAGTCTGTCGAACCTAACACAGTGCCTGATACACAGTAAGTGCTCACTAAATATTAATGGATAAGGAGAGGAGGGATATGAGAATAACTCAGATTACTAAAAAGACTAAAATTGTTGATGGATGTTTGCTTCATACTGACTATTATTATTTCATAGCCTTGTTGTCAGGTGCTTTTGAATCAGTTCCAACTCATAAAGATCCAATGTACAACAGAAAAAGCAGTGCCTGGTCTTGTGCCATCTTGACAATTGTTGCTTTGTTTGAGCCACTGTGTCAGTCCATCATGTTGAAGGTTTTCTTCTTTTTTGCTGACCCTCTCCTTTACCTAGCATGATGTTCTTCTCCAGGGAGTGGTCTCCCCTGATAACAAGACCAAAGTACATGAGACAAAAATCTTTCCATTCTAACTTCTAAGGAGCATTCTGGCTGTATTTCTTCCAATACAGTTTTTTTGTTCTTCTGGAAGTCCATGGTATATTCAGTATTATTCACCAACTACCATAATTCAAATGCATCAATTCTACTTCCATCTTCCTTATTCATTGTCCAGCTTTCGCATGCTTATCAGGGGACTGAAAATACCATGGCTTGGGTCAGGTACACCTTAACCCTCAAAGTGACATCTTTGATTCATGGCCTTAAAAAACCACTACCATTGAGTCACTTCTGGCTCATAGTGACCCTATTGCCTTATCATGGCATTAGATTTTGTAAGTAGTAAAAATTTGCTGCTTGGTTTAAAGTACTTATGTTCTAGGCATTATCTATTATGAACCATAAAATTTTATTTTTCTTTCTCTAATCATGGTCATAAGGAACTCTGGTGGCAGAGTGGGTAAGGCTGCTAACTAGAAGGCCAGCAGTTCAAACCCACCAACTGCTCCTTAGAAGGAAGATGAAGCAATCTATTTCTGTACAGATTTACAGCCTTGGAAACCAATGAGAGTCACTATGAGTCGGAATCGACTTCATGGCATTGTGTTTGTATTTTTTGTTTTTAATCATGATTGTATAACCTTTATATTATAATCTAAAGATTGTATCTGTCTAAAATGGATTGATAAATGAAGCTGGTTATTTTTACAGTTAAAATTGGTACAGCATAAAATCCCTCTGATTTTTTTTTATCCCAGTCAGATACTTGATGGTTACATTTGCAACTGTACATCTAAATGTTTTCTTTATGTGTCATAGGCATTGCTCTACAATCAGTAACAGGATGTCAATGTAAGTATATTTAAAAACAAAATGCCAATAGACCTTTTAACTTGGAGTACATAAGGGACATTTGTGGGATTTTTGCTTGGTCAGATAAACTGTTTGATAAACTATAACTGTTAAAAGCTTGGAAAATCATGTGATCAAATTACTACTGGTCAGGTGAACCTAGAGTGAGCCTTACTCTGCCCTCTTAGCATATGTGCCCCAGGGCTCACCCAGGGATAGCGTTCTAACCTTTGGTCCCACAGGACACATCAGCAGACAAAGTCTGCCTGTTTGTTCCAGCAGCTTATATGTGGTACTCTAGCTTGTGTAGCTTTTATCTGGTTAGCTAAACTTTGCTATAGCTATATATATGTATATTATTTTGCCAGGTAGGGAACTACTTTTATTTTAAATTTTAATTTTTGTGTTACTGTTTTTGTTTTACAATTAAATTCTGTGATATTGTTTATTATAATATTCTTCAATATTATTTCATATTCTACAATTAAAATTACACTTAAGTAAAAAACACTGGTTCTTACTGTTTAGCATTGAATTTTGTACCATCTGTGAACAGTTAGACAGGGTCCTCAAGTTTTGAGTCCTAAATCTGTGGGACAACATTAAGGAGCATGGTGTCAAACATGAGGTCACATTATAGGGAGCTAATTACCATTCATAATCTTTGGTTGTAAGAAAGAATAAAAAAGGGAAAAAAATAGATCTTCTATCATTCTTGCTCTTTATATTTCAGATATATGTCCTAAAATAATGCTTGTTATAATATTAATAGGGTCCATGTCAGGACACTCAAAAACCTAGTATTTAGAATCTTTTTAAATTCTTATGTTCTTATGATACTGGTAAGATATCTGCAAAAACGGCAAGGAGGCCACATGTTCTGACCTCCTCTAATCCCACAAGAGGAAGGCAGAATCACCATCAATAGCGCAAGGCCTATTACTGCAAGGCCAGACATGCTGCCTCCCTCCAGCCCTTTCACCAACCGTTCCTCCCAAAGCACCCACCACCTCTCTTCTGGGTTCGATAATTCGCTGCAGTGGCCACACAGAGCTCATGGATTATGGGGTTTATTAGGGAAGCACCAGGCTACAACTCAAGTTCAGGAAGAACGCTCAGTCTCTCTCCCAGCCCACCGTCTCTCAACCAAGTCTCTCAGAGTCTCTCCCCCAGCAGTGCATGTCCCTCGGTGTCTTACTCCACAATGCATGTCTCTTGCGTCTCTTGCCCAGCAGCACGTGTCTCTTTCTGGGGCATGTGTCTCTTTCAGCAGCACGTCTTCCTCCACCAGCAATCAGAGAGAGTTCTGCCTCTAGGAGGCCTCCTTTTGGGCCTGGAAGGGTGGTCAAACTAGCCAATCATAGCATTAGAACTCTAAGCACCTGAGAGAGAGTGGGAACCTCCGAGAACATCGTATTGTGCCACGCCCAACAGAAATAACCCAGGTGGATAGCTTCAGCAATCAGGAGCTCCTCAGTTGCTCATAGCAAATCCCACCTTGGAGTTTACAAAGACTTATGGGTAGAAAAGCCACACAAAGTAATTTACTATACCACAATATCTTAGCATTCAGGTTCATATTGAAATATACCTCTTGTTTGATCATTGACAAATTGGCATTGCATTTTCATTTAGTAATTGAACAGAGTAAGATGTTTTCTAATTTTATATCTGGAATAGTGTTTTTTGGTAGGCAAACATATTTATATATTTATAGAGGCTAGAATTGCTTGAATCTGAATTGAGTCTTTTGCCTTTAATATCTAGGTTTTGAAATAGAAGAGTTACAGAATGAGGGAGAAGAACTAAGCCCGCTGCTCATGGAGTACAATATAAATATGTATTCAGATACGGATATACATTTAGTAGAAATGAATAAAGATGTGGCATCTATACCTAGTGAATCTTCAACAGAATCTACTAAAGAGCTCCAAGAAGTATTAACTTTCATTAACATTTGAATCAGAAAAAACTTAGTCAAGGCCTTTATTTTGTTGCATGTGCTGTACTTAGAGCATCCTAGACAACCTTATTTTATATTTGTCGTAGTGTTTACTGTGAACTTGAATAGTTCTTTCTGCAGTATTTCCATAGGCTTTCTTGCTATAACCATTTATTCTGCCAGCATTCATTGAACATTTACTGTGTGCCAGGCAATATGTTAGATTTCTGAACACATTTCGTCTTCCTGAGTGATAAGAGTGGGTATGAGAGGGTAACAGAAGAGGGGCATGCAGAGGAATAGAAGGAGAGATGAGGGGGAAAATGAGGTAATTTCATCATCATGTGCCCAGAAGACAATTAAAATTGTCTGTAGGATCTCAGTATTTCTTTACAGATAAGTGGGAACTGTTAGTATCTCACTAAATTATTCTTAGACTTAATTATTCATCTTATACAAATGAGTATGATTTTTTAAAATCTTCCACATTCATTACTCATGCATGCCCATGTGTATGAGTGAGGATCTGTGAACTTTGTATCAGTAGCCTACTTGTTGACATTATTATTTATTTAAATTTTTTTTATTTTTCATTGTGATTTTGGTGAAAATATACAGGGCAAATTGGTTTTCCATTCAAGAATTCATTTTGTTTTGTGACATTCATTGCAATCTTCACAATATAACAGCACTCTTCCCATTTCCTCCATGCAGTTACCATTTCCCCTTGTCCTTTTTTCCTGTTCCTTTTTACCTTCCGAGCTTTATCCTTGGGCAAATGCCACCCTTTTGATCTTGTAAGGTTGGCTTTTCCAATGAGTGTATACATCTTTGGTGTTATTGTTTACTTTATAGGCCTGTCCTTGACATTGTTTCTTGTTCCTTCATACATCAGAGATTGCTCAAGGGCAGAAAACTGAGATCAAAATGAAAATAATCAAAGTGAAATTAATTGTTTCTATAGAATCCAGAAAGAAAATATGATCTGTAATATTAGAATATAAATATATCAGTGGTTAGAATAAATGTATTTTCCAAAATAACCCATTATATAGTTTGTATTGGATATTAAATAAATGATTTCTTTCTTACCTTTCAGGTTAGGAGTAAACCAAAGAAAAAAAAAAAGACTAAGAGTAAAAAGGTAAGAAAGTATATTAGCATTACAATAGAGGGATATTTGATTATGAACACTCAAATTTAATGTATAGATTCACTATTAAAACTTAACATTAATCCAGGGAGACATATAACATAAATGCCTTTTAAGTGTCAATAGCTTGTTGAATATATGATGATTAAGAAGTCTGAATATGTTAGATTCTGAATGATTTAAACGTACTATGCTCTACTTTACTTCTCTAAATTATAACTTATACATTTGAATATACAGTGAAACCTATGAGAACTGGAACTCACCATGACTACCTTGTTTTCAGTGGTTTCTTGCCTTTGACTGAGTTTAGTCTTATCACTTTTCTATTGCTCTCTGTTTAGTGAAAATATTTGAGTTTTCCTTCTCTGACAATTTCTGCCTTACACATGTTCTGGATTTTGTAGGTTTTACTACACAAATAAAGACACTGAAATTTCATTAAAATCTGCATATGACTTTCATTTTAAAAGTGCCTCTTCTGCTATAAAAATAGCTTTTTTTTTTATCATATCTCTATTGATGTGTTTGGGAGTATTTTTCAAAACCTTAGGAAATCTTAATTTTCTTCTTTATGTCTGAGAGTTTGCCAGTAAAGTAATTATGTACAAAACAGATGCAAAATCAAGAATTTCTTTCATTTTCTCTTCCTTGATTTTTGCCAGTTGAAAAATGAGCAAGTCACTATCTGCAGCAAAGTTTAAAAAAAAAGAAAAAAAATCTCTTAATTACTTGGAAAATACAAGGGAATGCCAGGAGTCTTTTTTAAATAAAGCACATAGCTAATCACTATGCTATGCAAACTTTGTGGTGAAATAAATACAAGTTTTCTGGCCCAAAACATTTATTTAAAATCTAGATATACCCTGTATATTATATTATAAACTGATGAGAATATTTATCCAATTACAATCTGATCACCTCATGTATTAGTCAGTTGGAAGTATACATGAATTTTAGTCATAAATGAAATCAAAGATGAATTTAAAAAATACTTATTGAGACCAAAATAAAGATTATTTATACTCTATAAAAATACCAATACCACTTTCATGTTTGTTATTATAACTATCATTTACTATAACTATTTCAATCAAAAGTTACTTTGAAAATTAAATTTTATTTTTAAAATACATGAGTATGAAGATTTTTTTCTTTTGGTTAGTTCTTGTCTGATAAAACACAGCCTGGTTGGTTAAACTGTCTGTTGTGTTTTTATTCTGGCCAAAACATAAATAAGTCCCAGTTCTAGTACTACATAAAGCAGGCCAGGTAAATCCTAGAATGTCAAACCACAATAGTGCATTCCAAGAGCATATAGTGTGCTGTGGCTATTTCATTTTTACTTCCAAAAAAATGAAACATGGTAATTCTCAGATTCTCAATTTTGGTTAAGTGGAAAGCCCTATTTCTACGTCAAATTGAAATTAAACAGAAAAAACACAACTGGAAATAAATGTAAACACTACTCAAAAATTCATACTGCTAGTAATGCATGGGGGCTCTAGTAGCATAGTGCCTAAGGCACTTGACTGCTAATCAGAAGGCTGGCATTTTCAAACCCACCAGCCACTCCTCAGAAGGAAGGTTGGGCAATCTACTTACGTAGTGATACCTCCTTGGAAACCCAAAGAGGGGTTGCTATGAGTCAGATCTGACTCGACGACACATAACAACAACAGTGATATTTTAAATTTGTTCTTAGATGTCAGCAATTACTTAGGATTTTTTTCTGTTTTTTCTGACATCCTACGTTTTCTTCCAACTTACTGTATTAAAAGAAGTTGAAATACTTTTGAAAATAAAATAGTTGTATTAAGATGAAATTTAGACATTAGAAGAGAGATTTTGTATATCTTTCATCAAAACTTTTAAGTATAGAATCCAAAAAAATGCTAAAATTTGTGTATATGATTTTTTTTGTATAGAATAATCTCGTATAGAGGTAGTCCCTGGGCTACAAATGACATCAGTTCCTAAGTGTGTCATTATGTTGAATTTGTAGGTAAGTCAGAACAGGTGAATATGGGCCTTACTTAGCCTTATTTTAGTGCAAGAAAAGGCTGAAAGTATGTAGCAAGTGGGGTCTTAAAAGCTTTTGAGCGGCCATCTAAGAGGCAACCGTTGGTCCCCTCTCATCTGAATCAAAGAAGAGTGAAGAAAATCAATGGCATTTAGAAACAGTTAGTCCAAGGATAAGATGCACCACAAGTAGGACATGACTCTAAGACCAGAAGAAGTAAATGGTGCCTGGTGGCCAATGTCAATCACTTGTAAGAGATCAAAACTGGAGATCCTGGCTATACTGGGAATAAAAGTGTGGAACAAAATTCAAAAACACAAAAATGACCAGAATTACTGGTTGGAAAGAATCTGGTGGAACTCCCAAGACTATGGCCCTAGGTTACCCTTCGGGCCTAGAAATGGACTCACTCCAATAGATTGGCTCTTAACCCCACGGTAGAAAGACCTACATGCAAAGCACTTACCCCAGGGTGATTCACCCACCTATTCTAAGGAGAGGCACCCCTTAGCACAGTCAGCCATGAAACACCAGAGGGGCAGCATTCACAGAGGGAAAGTTGGACAGACAGGAATGCGTAGTCAACAAGGGCCCAGGGAAAGGGTAGTCAGGGATGGGAGGGGAGGGGAGTTTTTAATGGTTGGAGATGGTAATAAAGGCGTGAAATCAAAGGTTCATGAACTGTTGAATGTAAAACAAATTTGCTTTGTAAATTTGCACCCAAAGCACAATAATTTATTTTTAGGGCTCAAAGTCTTTTCAGTGATTTAAAAGTGTATGTGCAGCACGTAAGGTAATGACAAAGAATTTGTTGCAAGTAGGGTTTGTTTCAATTGCTTTAAAGTGAGGACAGATTTACATAACATTAAAAGGAAATGTGAGTTGTCAGTAAGTAGGACATTTGTAACCCTGGAACTTACTATACTAAAAGGAGTTCTGGCAGTGTAGTGCCTAAGGCATTTGACTGTTAACCAGAAGGCTGGTGGTTCAAAGTCCCCAGCCACTCCTCAGAAGGAAGATTGGGCAATCTACTTATGTACTCATACTGCCTGGGAAACTCAAGGAAGGGTCACTGTGAGTCAGATCCAACTCGACAGCCGTGAGTTTTGAGTGAGTATGGATGTAAAGAATGGTCTAGTTATAGTAGCAACCAGTTTTACGTCAGTCAAAGGATCTAATCAGGAGTGTTCCTCATGTTAGCTAATGTTTTTGAAGACTGATGATGTTATACAGAGTCCTTGTGTCTGTATATCAATAAAATTGTCTTCTGTTAATTATTTGTTTTGTAATGTCTCTACCTTAGAGTTTTATAATCCTAACAACATCTATCAGGGATTGTCTGGAAAATAAGAAGTAAAATTTGTGTAGTGAGTAGAAGTGACAGTATTACAATGTCTAACTAGTATATATAGAGACGTACCTACTCTATATGTTCAGTTTCTTCAGTTAGGTATTTAAACATTTACTATTTAGCTTCTAATATATTCAAGTTGTAAATAACGCTTTTTGGCTTAATTAAACTTCTCTAAGGGGAATCATGGGTTAGGGATAGAAAAAGAAAGTAGATAGTTAAAAGAGTAGAATACTTTTTTAATGAAGGCCTGGGGGAAAAAGAATGATGATAGGAAGTAAATCATCCAGGCCTTTAATTTGAATGGCCTCTTTGAAGTAGGGAAGTTGCTGAGATGCAAGTAGGAGAAGCTGATGCCTGTTTTGGCATGAAGTTCTCATGGGAAGAACTTAATTAACTACACTAGAACAAGTGGAATTCTTTTCACATCAGGTGTATAGGCAATCCCCAGGTTACAAATGAGATCAATTTTTAAGTATGTCATTAAGTCAGAACATGTACATATGCTTCTTATTTAGCCTCACTTTAGTGAAAGAAAACCCAAGCCTTTTCAGTGATTTAAAAGGTACGTGTACAACAAGTGAGGGTTATTGTGATGAATTTGTTCTGTGTCAGATGGTTTACCAGTCTGTCAGTTTATTGTATTGTGGTAGCTGTGAGGTACTGTGATGCTGTAAGCTGTGCCACCAATATATCAAATACCAGCAGGGCCACCCATGGTGGACAGTTTATGTGGAGCTTCCAGACTCAGATGGGCTAGAAAGTAGGGTGTGGCCAGGTCCACTTCTGAAATAATTGGCCACTGAACTTTATGAATAGCAATGAAACATTTTCTGATATAAGACAGTGCCATAAGATGAGCCCCTCAGGTTGGAAGGCACTCAAAATATGACTGGGGAAGAGCTGTCTCCTCAAAGTAGAGGTGACCTTAATGAGGTGGATGGTGTAAGTAAAGCTTTCAAGACCATCATTTGCTAATGTGCCGTGACTCAGAATTAATAATTGGAACGTGGAATGTATGGCGTATGAATAGGAAAACTGGAAGTTGTCAAAAAGAAAAGAAATGCATAAAGATCTATATCCTATGAATGAATGAACTGAAATGGATTGGTATTGGCCATTTTGAATCAGACAATCATATGGTGTACAATGCCAGAAATGGGAAATTGAACAGGAATAGTGTTGCATTCATCATCAGAAGAACATTTCAAGATCTATCCTGAATACAGTGCTCTCAGTAATAGGATAAAATCTATATGCCTACAAGGAAGACCAGTTAATATGACTATTATTCAAATTTACGCACCAACCACTGAAGCCAAAGATGATGAAATTGAAGATTTTTACCAAATTCTGCGGTCTGAAATTGACCAAACATGCAATTAAGATGTATTGATAGTTACTGGTGATTGAAATGTTGGAAACAAAGAAGTATCAGTAGTTAGAAAATGTAGCCTTGGTGATAGAAATAATGCTGAAGATCGCATGATGAAATTTTGCAAGAGCAATGACATATTCATCGCAAATACCTTTTTTCAACAACTGAAATGGCAACTATACATGTGGACCTCGCCAGATGGAATACACAGGGATCAAATTGATTACATCTATGGAAAGAGATGATGGAGAAGATCAATATCATCAGTCAGAACAAGGCCAGGAGCAGACCATGGAACAGACTGTCAACTCCTCATATACAAGTATAAGCTGAAGCCAAAGAAAATTAAAAAAAAAAAAAATCCATTAGAGCCAAAATACCACCTTGAATATATCCTACCTGAATTAAAGACCATCTGAAGAATGCATTTGATACATTGAACACCAGTGATCAAAGACTAAATAAATTGTGGGATGACATCAAGGACATCAAACATGAGGAAAGCTAAAGGCCATTAAAAACAGAAGAAAGGAAGAAAAGACCAAAATGGATATCAGAAGAGACTGTGAAACTTGCTCTTGAGCTAAGAATAGCTAAAGTGAATGGAAGAAATGATGAAGTAAAGGAGCTGAGCAGATGTCAGAAGACAGCTTGAGAAGACAAAGTAGTATATTACAATGAATGTGCAAAGACCTGGAGTGAGATAATCGAAAGGGAAGAACACAGTTGGCATTTCTCAAGCTGAAAGAACTGAAGAAAAAATTGAAGCCTGGAGTTGCAATATTGAAGGTTTCTATGGACAAAATATTGAACAATGCAGAAAGCATCAGAAGAAGATGGGAGGAATACACAGAGTCATTGTAACAAAACGAACAGATTAATGTTTAACCATTTCAGGAGGTAGCACATGATCAAGAACCAATGGTATTGAGGGAAAAAGTCCAAGCCAAATTGAAGGCATTGGCAAAAAGCAAGACACCAGGAACTGACAGAATACTCATTGAGATGATTCAATAAGTGGATGCAGTGCTGGCAGCACTCCTTTATGCTAAGAAATTTGGAAGACAGCTACCTGGCCAACCAACTGGCAGAGATCCACGTTTGTGTCCATTCCAAGGAAAGGTGATCCAACAGAATGTGGAAATTATCAACCCATATCATTAATATTGAGCACATGTAAAAGTTTGCTGAAGATCATTCAAAACAGTTGCAGCAGTATCATATGTGTTAGAGTGGGTTCTCTAGAGAAGCAAAACCAGTAAAGCTTATATAGAGAGAGGGAAATTTATCTTAGGAAAATGGCTCACACACTTATAGAAGCTGGCAAGTCCCAAGTTCTTGGATCAAGCAAAGCTGGAGGCTTTTCCCAACTCTCATAGCTGCAGGGGCTGACGAGTTCAAGGCTGGCAGGCAGTATACTGGCTGTTGACTCCAACGAATGACAAATCCAACATCTCCAGGCTGAATGGTGGATTGTTCGCTCACGGACAGTTGTAGGCAGCACAACAGAATCCCGATCCACAGAAGAGTGTCTCTTTTCCCAGGATGTCCATAAATATACTAGAAGCAGGCCACACCCCTAGGGAAACTCCTTTTCAGCGGATTGACTGCTCAAAACATATATATCTGATCCCATCATGGGAACAACCCACATCACAATTGCTTAAACCATACAGAATTGTGGTCCAGCCATCTTGATACACAGCTGCAATTATCACACAGTATCAATAGGGAATTTCAAAAAATTCAGCTCGATTCAGAAGAGAACATGGACCAAAGGATATCCTTGCTGATGTCAGATGGATCTTGGCTGAAAAGAAAGAATACCAGAAAGATGTTTACCTGTGATTTATTGACTATACAAAGGTTTTCAGCTGTGTGGATCATAGCAAATTATGAATTACATTGATAAGAATTGGAATTCCAGACACTTAATTGTGCTTATGAGGAACCTGTACATAGACCAAGACGTAGTCCTGATACTGTGTGATTTAAAATCAGGAAAGGTGTGCATTATGTTATAGCCTTTCACCATACTTAATCAATCTGTATGCTGAGCAAATAATCTGAGAAGTTGTATTATGTGAAGAAAAATGTGACATCAGAATTGGAGGAAGACTCATTAACAACCTGCAAATGACACAACCTTGCTTGCTGAAAGTGAAGAAGATTTGAAGCACTTACTGGTAAAGATCAAAGACTATAAACTTCATATGCATTACACCTCAACATAAAGAAAACAAAAATCCTCCACAACTGAACTAACAGTATCATGATAAATGGAGAAAAGTTTGACTATAAGGATTTAATTTTACTTGGACCCACAATCAATGCCCATGGAAGCAGCAGTCAATAAATCAAAAGAGTTATTGCATTGAGCAAATCTGCTGCAAAAGACTTCAGAACCACCTAGACTATGGCTCTCAGACACCATTCAGGCTAGGAACTGAACCTAACCCCATGACTCATCTTACAGCCAAATGATAGGTCTCTAAATGATAGTAATACCAAGAAGATATGCACTTATTAGATCAATCAAGCGTATAAAATCAAGAGGATAGCATTTGCACAGAGATAGAGCTTGGAAGGCAGGAGGGGATGGGAAGGAATGATGAAGGGAAGGAGTGGGTTTCATGAGTAAGTGGGAAGAATGCTGTTGCAGTATGGGGATTCCAGTAAGTGTCACAAAGCAGAATGTCTACAGATTGTTGAATGGAAAACCAATTTGCTCTGTAAACTTTCACCCAAGTCACAATAAAAATTTTTAAAAATGTTCATGAACAGAGATGTCACTTTCAAGACTTGAGTTTGCCAGATTCACACCATGGTATATTCAGTAATCTCATACATGTGAGAGCTGGACAGTGAATAAGAAAGACTGCAGAAGAATTGATGCATTTGAATGATGGCATCGGCAAAGAATATTGAGTGTACCATAGACTGCTAGAATGAACAAATCTATCTTGGAGGAAGTACAGCAGAATGCTCCTTAGAATTGGGAATGGCCAGACTTTGGCTCTCATACTTTGCTCATGTTGTCAGAAGGGAGCAGTCCCTGAGAAGAATATCATGCTTGGTAAAGTAGAAGATCAACAAAAAATGAGAAGACCCTCAACAAGATGGAGTGACACAGTGACTGTGATGATGGGCTCGAACATGGCAATAACATGGGAAGGACTCAGGACTGGGCAGTGTTTCTTTCTATGTTACATAGGGTTGCTGTGAGTTAGAAGTGACTCCACAGTACCTAACAACAGCAGCTTGGTTCAGTAATTTCAAAGTGAGGGAAAATTTACATAACATTAGAGGGCAAGTAGGAGTTGTTTGTAAGTCACATGTTCAAAACCTACGAACTTAGTGTTCTCAAGTATACTAACAGGTAGGAGTCAGTTCTAAATCATAGAATCAAATTGGTGCTGGACATTGACCATAAGAACAAACACTGAAACATAAAAATGCTCTTCTGTACAGACAATAAAGCAAAATAAATTTACAAGTACATTATTGAGTTTGTGAGAGAAGAGACTTTTAAGACTTTAAAGTTTCTTGAAAGCAAAGGATGGAAGTAGAAATTCATACAGTAATACTCTTAATTTAAAATGTGTTAAGTGTCATTGATATTATATGCTTGGAATGTTATCTTCATAGTTTTGTTTTAATGAACATAGAATTTAGGGTTTTAAAATTTTTCCTGCTAATTGTGATCTCCTTAACACTTATTTTTCTGTAAGATTCTTAGACTGTTTTCTTTTTACATGTAGATTTTCAAGAGCTTCTGTGGTTAGTGTTGGATACATTACTATAAATAGGAATTACATATACACTGTCCCAAGATATTTCAGTAGGTACAAACTATGATCTTAATATCTGAATCATTGATTTAAAAGTTATGAGTCACGACTCTGAAGTGGGTTATAAAATCAATTTAATGAGTCACAACAACCATTTTTAAATAAGAAAATAGAAAAATTAGAATAAAAAATCAGTTTATCATACATGATACAAGTAAGGTTTGTTTTATGAAACTTATATTTAAATTTTATACTTATATACAAGAACAACAACAACATACTAGAAAAGTACACACATATACATATGTGTGCATATATATGTCGATACACATCTGTGTGTACATGTGTATAAACACATATACATACATATAGTGGTCAAATATATTTCTTACTTGGTTTGGGGTAAAAATTTGAGAAAGACTGAGCTAAATGCAGTCAGATCACTATGCCATGTTAACATATTTCATTATAAATTACAAATTCTTTATGTTCTTTTTCAGAATAAGGAATCAAATGAAGAGCAAGTGTAAGTGCTAGTTTATGTTATTTTAAATTATTTTTAGTATTATCAAAATGTGCTTTGCATTGGGAAGTATTTTCACTGAAGGGAAGAAAGGACAGTTCTTTCAGAGGTTGTTGCCTTCTTACAAAAAGTGACAAAAAGTTAAATTCTCATTTGCTTTGGAAGAATAGAATCTGCCAGAGTTTTTCTATAAGACTGCTTAGCTTCATTCAAGTACTAACTTGGTCCAACATGCAATCTTTTAAAATGTATTCTGAAGTGTGATTAGCCAAATATACACTAATATGACAGCCTGCAAGAAGGACAGAGATCATTGTATGTACCAAATGACTGCTTTTACAAAGGAGCTTGCTTTTTTTTTTTTTAAATTTGATTTGGTTCATTGTTTGTATTTTTTTTTTTTTTTTTTTTTGTGATTTGGGTAAAAATTTACAGAGTAAATTCATTTTCCATACAACAGTTCACATACACTTTGTCTCATGACGTTGACTACAATTTTGTATTTTTTTTTTGTTTTGTTTTTAATTTATCCTGAGGATTTTCTTCTCCCAGTTATTGACAGTAAACTTTGAATCTTGAATGATAACTTTTTCATGTCAAAGGTAATTGTGACATGTATTGTTCAATCTTATGACTGGTAATAGTGCACTAGATGAAGGAAAGGGAAAGAGATCATGATAATATTCACAATAAAAAAACTTTAACTGAATATTAGTAACTTTAGGGAATGTACTTTGAGGTCATAATTAAGAATACTTTAAAATGGCAGTAAGAACATATTTTACACTTTAAAGCCATCACTTACAGTTGATATTTTCTCATTGATAATGGCCGTGATTACTTGATAAGCAAATAGTTCATTGTCCAAGATGGGTTTTCACTTTCTTTGGCAACTAAAGAATCATTCATAAGTTTTCTCAGGCTAAGTCTAGATACCAGAAAAATAACTAAAGAATGAAACAATGCCATCAATAATTTTGCTCCTTTTGCACATAGTAGAGACCCAAACCTAGATGATGATAAAATTACTCAGGGAACCTTGCTCTTAAATGAGATTTTCAAATATACACAAAAGTAAAGTGAATAGTATTTATAACTATCCTGATTCAACAGTTATTATTCTTTTACCATATTTGCTTCAAACATCCTTTACCATTTTCTCTTTGTTGAAATGTTTCAAATCCAAACACAGAAACATGTAATTTTACTTGGCCTACATGCTTCAGTTTGCGTTTTCTTAAAAATATGGACATTTTCCTGTATTATCCTACTGCTATTATTATTCTTCAAAAACTCAGCGGTAATCTTGGGGGAGATTTTCATTTATATTTTTTACAGTTGTGGAGGTGCCTGGGAATTTTTTTTTTTTTCAAGCTCTTTGGATAATTTGGAAAATTAACTGGATTTGGGAGCTGCTGGTCTGTGCAAGCAGTTGATCTCATTAAACTTCCCAAATATTTGGGTTCTTCATACTGTTTCAGTGATACCTAATGACTGTTTACGTAGTGTTTTACCAAGTATCCTATGAGTATTAGGTGTTATTTTTTTCTAGATCTTAGTGACCTAAAAAAAGTAATAATCCATCTGAGAGTTATCTGTTTTATTTCCATTCACTAGTAAAATTAAGTGATTTATGTCATGCTATAAGGAAAAGTACTATTTCTTATTGCTCTTTATTGAGAATAAAAAGGAAATTCGTAGCTACTAAATAGTAGGCTAATTGAGAAGGTGGTGGGCCTCTGTTTACAATTTAGAGAGGGGTAGAAAATTTGTTAATTGACATTGATTCTCTAGTCTTTTCATACTTTTTTCAGTTGTTCCTAGTTACTAAAATCCATGTTTTCACTATAGTTTCTTAAAAGTACTGTTAGAAAATAAACTTTCATTTTTAAGTCTACTTTATGCTGCTCTTTGTAGCCCTCTGTTGAAATGTACACTTGACTTTGATTAAGTCAACCTACCTGTCAATAGTGTTATGATGATAAAATGTACAGCAGATGTGTTTGTCAGTGTTTCCCAAAGTATTATTTCTTAAACTAAGTGATGTTAATAGCTATAATTTTAAAAACAACTCCATGGTCTCACAATTCTTTAAAACACTGGAATGAGCAGAATTAAATAGGTACTTTGAGTACTATCTTAAATATGCTAATATACAGTGTGAATCTTTAAGAGAATGATATATATGAGCACTGTCCAAATTTTATTTGACCATGAACTATCTGATGCTAAGCCTCTCATGAGATCAGTACAATATCAATTTGGGAAACAGTGGCTTAAATGAAAAACACTACACTATTTTAAAAGATCACATTGATTATGTCACCATGATAGCCAACATATGGTAGGGAAGGAAGAGCAGGTGAAGAAAGAGCAAGGAAGTCCGCATTCAGTTAGCAGACTGAACAGTGATTCAAGTGATGCTCAAGAATATTCTACAGCTGAAGACAAGATCTATAGCCTGGATGAATTGCATAATCTGGACATGATAGAGCAGGTAAGGCTGGCTGGAAAGGCTTCTTATTTCCCCCCCAGAGAAACTGTTACTTTGTTTTCCCCATGAGTCATTGAACAACATGTTAGACCAGTAGTTTATACTGTATTTGTCAGGAGGGAAAAAAGGTAGGATGGGACAGAGAGGTGGAGGGAAGAAGGAAAAATAGAAAAAAAGAACCTTAGAAGCTGGAAACTTTTCACTTCCCCACTCATAGTGTTCATTGGCTTTAACTATTGGGCCAACCTGATTTTAAATGCATTCCTTTGCGGATGTTCTCCAAAACACAAGAAAAAGTACAAGACAAAACTAGCATAATCCCATTGGGTTAAATTTCATGAGAAAATTTGTTTGTTTATTTGTTTGTTTTTTAAAAAAGCTATTTTCATTATTATTACTTTTATTTGAATTTGCTTGTTACCTCAAAATATCTACAAAAATATTAGCATACAATAGTTTTTTTTTTCCCTTCTTTGGTTCCTTCCCTGGTAGTAGTCACTGCTTGAAATGATGTATCTGTACGTGAAGAGGCATATGGACATGATTTAAGTGTTCAACAGAATAAATGTTTTATTTTGTTCATAAAAAACACTTGTGTAATCCACCCATAAGCATTCTATTGTGAGGTAATTTTATGATATTATAATAGGAATATTATAATAATGTAACAAATAAGATATGATAATATTATATAACAATGTTATAATATGTATTAGGAGCTCTGGTGGCGTAGTGCCTAAACCATTTGACTGCTAACCAGAGGCTGGCTGTTCAAACCCTCCAGCCACTCCTTAGAAGGAAGGTTGGGCAATCTACTTCCGTAGTGATACTGCCTCAGAAACCCAAGGAGGGGTCGCTATGAGTCAGATCCAACTCGACGGCAGTGAGTTTGGTTTGGTTTGGTTTGATAATATATATTATATGACATATATAATAATAAAAATATAATAATGATGTAATACAAATATAGTAGTAAGGTAATACAAATACTATATTTAAATACAATGGTGTAAAATGTAGGCACGTTGATTATCTGAAGGATATAGTTAATGCAGATGATTCCCTGGCAAGTAGTTCAACAGTCATATAATTGTTGTGCAATTTTTTTCTTTTTCCAGTTATAATATTAGAAAAGTCTCTGTTAACTGGAATATCATATTCTTAGCTTTGGATGTGACATTAAAGTTTAAATGTTGGAGCCTCTGTTTTTCTTTTCAAAGTCATGAAATCTAGAAGAACTTCGAAGTAGAATCAAAGTAATATTGCAAACCTTTCTAAAATTATTTATTCATTTATTCACAAAACATTATTTGGCACTTACTGTGTGTCATAAGCTATGCTGACATAGTCCCTGACATCATAGTGTTTTTAATCCAGTGAAGATCTGAACATTAAATTAACATGATAGTGTAATAATTAAGTGCTTGGGCTTCGAAACCTCATTGCATGAGTTAAAATTCAGACTCTCACTTACCATCTACATGAGCTTAGGCAAATTACATACACAGTTTTATCATCTCTAAATGGGAATAATGAATGCTGACCTGGTAAGCTTCTGCACTGTGCAGAAAGCTCTTATAACGTGGTAGGCACACAGTCAATGTTACTGTATGCATCAGGATATACAAGTTTCTATGGTGCTGTTCAGTGAATGGTATAATTTGGGAGAGGCAGATTTAATAATAATCAGGGAAGTACCATTTGTATTGAGACAGAAAGCAGGAGTAGGAGATGGCTGGCAACTTTGCTTTTTTTGTTGTTATGTGTTATCGAGTTGGACCCAACTCATAGTGATCCCTTCTTGGGTTTCTGAGGCGGTATCACTATGGAAGTAGATTGCCCAACCTTCCTTCTGAGGAATGGCTGGTGGGTTTGAACTGCCACCCTTCTGGTTAGCAGTCAAGTGCCTTAGCCACTACACTACCAGAGCTCCTGCTGGCAACTTTAAGTTCCCTTTAAATAAAACCATGTGCCATTCCTACCCCACAGGAAAATAACTAAAAAAAGACTAAAGCTTAATTTTATGCGATCTAAAATTCAGACATGCATATTTCTTTTGCTCAATAGGGCTCAACCAGCAAGGTAATTGGAGATTATGGAGAAACTGATAAGGAAAGGCTTGCCCTTCAACGACAGCTTCATAAAATGAACTATCAGTGTGAAGTAAGTACTTTTCCTGTTAGATCTGAGGGAAACAGAGGACGTTTAAAATGTTAAAATTAATGGTATATTCTTTATTAAAAATAACTAAGTTATTTTTTTCTCTTTCAATTTCTGATACTTGAACAGAATTAACTTTGAAATAATATTTTTCATTGACCAGGATTTCAAAAAACAGTTGAAAACAGTAACTTTTCGGTGGCAAGAAAACCAAATGCAGATTAAAAAGAAAGATAAAATAATTTCGTCTCTTAAACAACAAGTGGCTTTTGGAATCAATAAGGTTTCAAAGTAAGTGTAAATCTGTTGAAAACAAGAAATTCTAGGTTTTTACTGCTGTGTACACTATCTCTAATAGTTCATCCCTGTCTAGCCACTAGGTGGCATTGTGACTACACATTAAGAACTGACCAACCATCTATGATGCCTTGCCAACTAGATTGAGAAGGAAAGCAACTACTCTGTATAGAGTTGAGTAAAATATTGAAGCAGTGAAAGTATACAAAAGAAAGGAAGATGTCAATCTCATATATTTTACCGCTTATTTCTTATTAATCTTACGCTTAAATAAGCATAACTGGCTGTACTTATCCCTATCTACTGCAGTGACAGAGCTTATATTTCTTAT